CCAATTGTTGAGAATGCACAACCCTATGCTCCCAGCTATGAGGCCATGAATGACTACATACAAGAAAACATATATTCCTGTAGGCCTGGTGGAATGTATTACATATCCAGAGTAAAATGATTTAAAAACATGGATTTTAATCTAAAATGGGGGGGAAAGAACAACTATTATTGAAAATATTTACTTTCTGGATGGACTATTCTGACTCCTGTCTTTGTAGTTTGGGGAAGATGTGTACTTCATACACAAAACATTGTAAAAGTGGAGATCAGGCTTTCAAGTTAAGCTGTGTAAAAAGAAAGAAAAACACCTAACCTTAGTTATCACTTGCTTGCAGCCCAAATATGCTGCTGCCATGGTGTTACTTTGGTGTGTTTTTTTTAATCTTCTTTGTCGCTGACTGATTCTAGCTAATCAGGAATTATATAGTGACTACATTATCAAGGCATCAGAGAGCCAATCAGGACCACTTCACGACACCACTGAGGGCAAATGAATCTCTCAGATTGTCCTTATTCTGATGGGCGATGGATGTGTCATCACTGCTGCAGAAAGCAAGCAGTCTGGCATTCTTTTCTCATTGCATATGTGTTTTCACTTAAATAATTCAAGTCATAGATGGCCAGCTGCATGGCAGAATTTGGGCAGAACCTGAATGTGGATGTCATCCATATGCATTTCATTCCTTTCACTGAAATGTCCATTTGAATGTGTAATGCCATCCCAATAATGTTGCACTGAATCAACTACATATATTATGAGATTAGGATGAGGGAATGTTGCCTAAACAAGAGGGATGTGTTCTGTCTTCCCTGACACCCATCACCTTGTAAACACTTTTCACAAGGGGATGTCAAAGTTGCTGAAAAGGACTGGTGCTTTTTGTATGGGATGAAAGCATTTGTAAAAAGTGCCATGGAAACCCTATTTTGGCTCAGCAGCAGTCATAAATATTCCAGTAGTAATGAAGTGGAATACTGTACTGCAATAACAAAGTCCTTTGTCAATATTACCAGATCACTAGCTTCATAATTAATTATGGTGAATTGAAAGCTAACAGAAGTATTAAATAAAGGTAAAGGTTTTATTGCCATAATTCTGCATTGCCTGTGATAAATGGAACTTGACTTTCATTTCCTCTTCCCAAAGCTTAATTTTATTGTACAGCTTGTCTTTAATTTTGTTTTCCTTTTGGCACTATAGAATAAGACATTGCTAAAGAAAACTAACAAAGCAATTCTAGAGATTAATTTTCCTGCTACTGAAAAGAAACAGGATATCAACTGATTTATTAAGTAAAAATAGTGTTGCCATTCAGTTGTAGGCACTGTCATATCATTTAACAATTTAATTTAGTTAAACGGAATAATTGTAACTGTCAAACAGATCCTATTACACGATAATATTATTAACTTGTTATGTTTATATTAGTTTTTATTTATGATTTACTAATATTGATAGGTGAATTCAAATATTCACAGCAAAAAAATCCTTGAAATCCTGCTGATCCAAATGCTTGTAAAAAATACCCAAACCCTCCTGATGTGCATCATATGTAGTTATATTAATATATTATGTTGTCCTATACTAAACAAAAGAGCTTTTGTTTTGTTCTTTAATCCAGAAAAGAACAAAGCTTTTGTAGCTTTTTGAGAAAACAGTGTGTACAGTAATTTCTGTAAAAACCATGACAACAAAAAATGGCTTTCTTTCCTTTTTGAAATAACTGTTTTGGCAACACCTTATACAAGTAATGAAGATTGTATGTAAAGTTTCCTTACCTTTGGATAAGGGTACTGTTTTCCTCTGGGATACAGGAATCCAGTAAACCGGGGAATAACCATGTTTGGTACCAATGAGTCGTTTATCATAAGAAATGCCAGCCTCTCTCCATCAGGTGACCACCAGTGAGTTATGTGAGAATGAAGGAGCTCCTCTGGGGGAGGGGAGGGAAAATGTTCTTAAAACCCATGAAATTAACAATTGTCATATATAATTCAGATTCCAATCTGAGGGAAAAATCCTAATCCACTGGCTGCCCACAACAGTATCACCACTTTCCCCACTGTCGTCTAAAGTCTGACTGAAGATTGCTTTATATACACATTTTGCTGCTGTTGGCAAACTTCCTACTGTTAAAAATAAATCAAACAGAGCAAACAGACAATGCTACATTATTTTGTACCAGTTAGGCCATAGCACAGCCAGGAGGCTGTGATTTTGTATATTCAACTAGATTAGTACTGTTTTGAAATCTGTTCTTCAATATCTCAAAAAAAAAATAATTTTTTTTTTACTGCAAAAAGGCTTTTCTTTTCCTTTTTTGTAGATCTCATTCTCAGAATACTTAGAATTTCTGTGATTGTGGGGTTTCAGCTTACTTTATTCTTTCGAGCTGACCCAAGGTGGTGTGTCTGTTTCCTCTCCAGTAAACCTTTCTGCAGTCTCCTTAGCTGCTCACACTTCCTGATCTGAAAACACTCAATTGGAGGAGTAACCTCATGATATCTTTACCTAGTCTTCATCTGTGGAAAGCTGGAGAGGCTGCAGAGTGAAGACCACTGGTGGGATGATTTAATGAATGAAAGAAACAGACACCTGAGAATTTCATTGACACTCTCTCTCTCTCTCTCTCTCTATATATATATAGAAGTGGCTGGATCTCCTTCCATAGTCTTGTGAAAAATATAAATTGAGTTGCTGCAGGAAGAAATGTAAAATGCCAACAGCTTTTTAGCTGCCTTGCATGAACCACAATTTCTAATGCTTGTCTTTATAACCACAGATTACTTCCAGGGTACTGTTGGGTCCCTTATTATTCTGCATCCCTATATTTATTTGTATCAGAATAGTTATATGCAACCAAAGTATAATATTTGTGATGCAATGCAAAACTAATAGTCATATTTATAAGTTGAGCATAATCATATACAATTTCTGCAAATATGCCAATGAAAAATAGGTGGAGTAATTTTCAGGGCTGTTATGCAAAATAATGTATGTTCTTGTTCTGTTCCCTTCCCCATACAATAGTTTTCTTCTTGAAACAAGAAAATAAGAAGGATTTTGACAATTTAAATGATCACAAACAAAAGCTTATATATAGGCATCCCTTTGTTATAATGCAGACAATTTTGCAAGAAAACATTAAAAAGAAAAATCAACAGCATTGTCCTATAATGAACAGATTGTTCTCAGAAAAATTGAATGCATGTATGTCCTCTGCATTTCTAATAAAGTTGCATCTGTGGAATTTACCTTCATATAACCAGTCTGCAATTCCATTAAATACAATTCCTTCTTTTCCAGACGATGTTAGTCGCAGTGAGCTACTCTTTACATCAGGCTGGTAGTAGATGTTATTTTCAAAAATGTAAATCTAAATTAAGTAAGAGGGGAAAAGGTTTAATGCAGAAGCTAATGAATATTTTCAAGTTCAGTGACAGGGGGAAAAATATGCAGTTTAATAATATTATGTACTGTAGAGGATAACTCTTTCTAGTTTTCCACCAGCCATTTCCTTCCATTTACTGCTTTTTATTGTGATGTAGATTCCAGACATTACCAGAATGTGGAAATGGATAGAAGCTGAATAACGCACATTCACGTTCACCCTGTTGACCCTCTCACAACTCCAAAATATTCTCATTCATCTACATAGCAAATGTTGTTTTGCTTCATGCTGTTCCTGAGAGGGACCAAGATAGTAGGCTGTATGCTGAAATAGGACTGAAACTGAAGGACATAGCTGATATCCACAAGCTAAAGCTTATTTTGCTATTTCATCGTCTCTATATTCTAGTTTTCTGGAAGTCCTACAACCTGTGTTACGGCCACCCAGCTGTGTCAGCTGTCCTGATGTCATTGTTGGACCATAAATATTCAATCTGTTAGTGGAGCTGACAGTTGTTAGTGCACAGTAGACCTAATGCACTTTACAGTTTAGTTGCTGAATATCCCGCCCCTCTGTGAGCTGGGCCCAGCAAATCCCCTCAGAACCCACCTCACCAGAGCAGCTCCCTCTGCCTCTCCCTCCCTTGCAGCTGGGCCCAAGCTCCAACCACATCACAGCGGAGTGACCCAGGAGCGAAATGTGTGGCCCCACAAGAAAGAGGAAGGGAAGGGAGAATGTGCAGTCATTTCCTAACCTCGCCCCATGATGTGCTCGGCTTTCCCTCTCTGCCCTTGCCACCTAAGATCAGTTCCTCCTCTCCAGATATCTGGTAAACATATCCATTCATAATTATATTTATTAATCTACCTGTGCTTTTTTCTAGAAAAAAAGGTGCCAGTACTGTGTACCAGCACATACCGCCAGAAAAAAGAACTAGTCCCACATATATGACTTTTTAGTTGCCGTTCTAATTCCAGGGTCCACCAGCCACCATATGCATATAAATTGATTTGATGCATGTGTTCTTGTTGTTTTGCTCTATCTCTGTATACTTTTTAAAAAAGTATTTATGGAAATATTGTAACTGTTTATATGTTTTCATTATATTGTAATTCGCTTTGGGATGCCTCGTGTGAAGAGAATCATAAATGAAATAAGCATATATATATATATATATATATATATATATATATATCCAATATGGATACTAGCACTCCAAACCAGAACTGTGAATTCTCATTTCAGAATAAAAAACTATAGTTCCACACAGGCATTTGACACTGTGTACACAGTATACACAAAGGGTTGTATACTGGATCCCTTATGGACAGGCCATTAAGTGTTACAGCATTAGACCAAAAATGGTGGTCCTCTAATAAGTGGCTATTTTTTCCTAGGTTTTAAAAAACATTTATTCCTTCCCTTATTCATTTACTGTATATACTCGAGTATAAGCCGACTTTTTCAGCACCTTTTTAATGCTGAAAAAGGCCCCCCCCCCCATGGCTTATACTCGAGTGAGGCCAGTGGCAGCGGTGGCGGAGGGACGAGCAGCCCGAAAGGAGCCCTTTCTCACCGCTGGTCCCACCACCGCCGCCCGCCTCTCGCAAGAGCAGGCACAGGAGCCATGGTTGGGAGAGGTGCTGCACTGCACTGTGCCTCTCCCAACCGCGGCTCCTATGCCTGCTCTTGCGAGCAGCAGAGGCAGCAGTGGAGGGACGAGCAGCCCAAAAGGAGCCCTTTTGGGCTGCTCCTTCCTCCTCCACCGCCTTTGCTGCCACCACCAGGTTTGTGATGTGGTGAACCGGCATATACTTGAGTCAGTAAGTTTTCCCAGTTTTTTCTGCTAAAATTAGGTGCCTTAGCTTATATTCGGGTCAGCTTATACTTGATACAGTGGTACCTCGGGTTAAGTACTTAATTCATTCCGGAGGTCCGTTCTTAACCTGAAACTGTACTTAACCTGAAGCACCACTTTAGCTAATGCGGCCTCCTGCTGCCGCTGCGCCACCAGAGCACGATTTCTGTTCTCATCCTGAAGCAAAGTTCTTAACCTGAAGCACTATTTCTGGGTTAGCAGAGTCTGTAACCTGAAGCGTATGTAATCTGAAGCGTATGTAACCTGAGGTAACACTGTATAAGGTATCTTTTACAGTGTCTTACTATTTTACTCTCTTTGGGACTCAAAGTTACTCATTAAAGTTGTCCTTTCCTATGCGCTTGTAAACAGCAGCCACAAACAGCTGTGTTTCCACAGAACTTAATTGCTTTTTATAATGTAATTGCATAACAGAAAAGAACATACTAGCGATAGTGTAAAAAACAATGCACTTCTGATACTTTAAAAATACACAGGTATCTATCACTATAATCAGTTTAGGAGAACACAAAACCTTCTCATCTTTACACATAACAGTATGACCTTTGCTCCTTCAGCTCAAACACTCAGGGCTTCTGGGGCAAAGAACTCCCACAGAGAATGTCAAGCAATTTTGGTTTAAAGAAACATGCCCCCTAAAGCTCAAAGCAATACACTCTTTCCTATCTCACACACACATTTTATACTTTTATTTGAACATTTCTATCAATCTATTGTTCTCTGTCCAATCAGGTCTATACAGCACTCAGTGTATCCAAATCCCAAAGTACAGAATGACCCAATTTCTAAACAAGAGGAATGTATTTAGAAGGACTTTAAATGATTTCAACTTTTTGAATAAATCCATGAGAGGCACTGTTAAATAAATGAGAGGACTGTTAAATCAGTAGTTCTACAAATATTAAATAAAAGAAGTGACAGCATCCAGTTTTAGGAAACATGTGAAACTCACGTAATAATTAAAATAATGAAAGGCTACATAACCTACAGGTATGAAATGGAAGTGTTGCTTGTTTCTCTAGCCTTCTAAAAATATTACTAGGTATATTACTAGTAGCCCCAAGGTATAAGATTCACAGGTTTAAGACTGAATGTTGTGTAAGCAGACTTCTACCTGTGCCGTGGGACTTCACCTTCCCCTCCTTCCCCACTGTACCCCCAAAATCTGCCCTGGAAGATCTTCCAAAGATGAGAAATCCATTCCACCAATTGTGTCCATTCCACTGGTGGGCACTGTTGAATTGCACCCAAAAGTAGTACTGTATGTTATTTATAGGGCTAATGAAGATAATATTCATTATTTATTTTTAATACTAATCTCAGATACCAATCTACTCAATAAAAGAATTGTTTTCTGTTTCTCTACTCCTGTATCATCTTGGAAAAGATGCAAAGCATTCATAAACTTTCACTTAAAAGTTCTATTAGCTATGCTATGACTTATCAGATCCACATAAACATGCTGTCTACTGGAGAGAATCTTGCACCCACTTTGCTCCTCCATGGTCCTTTTAGCATGGACAGCATGCTGCAACAGCTAAACCAAAGTCTGACTGAACCCTGGATTGTGGGGTTAAGGTCTCTCCTTCCTAAACACAATCATGAGTGGTGGTGGAAGAGTGTGTACTCACTTCGCTCCTCTTTGGGAGCAGGCTAAGAATGGCTGACTTTTGGACCATGCCAGCTGAATTTCCTCCCTTTTGGCTGCTCATCCATTTATATTAGCTGGCTTGAATTGCACTGCCAACCTGCACAACACAAGGAAAAATATGCTACCTGACCAAGAAACTAAAGCCAAAGACTAAGTAGTGACTGTCAGGCTCCGCATAAGAACAGAGAGCTGCAGGGAGGAGGCATTTGTGATGACACGACCAGACTCGGTCTTCCAAGGAATCAGAAGAGCACAAAGCCCAGGCTAGGAGCCAAGAGTGGATCACGTCGCCTGCAGCAGCTGGTGGAGCCACATGCGCCAGCCAAACAGGTCAGGAGTGGCCACCCATCAAACACGCAAGGCGCACTGCCAAATGCACAGGCTCGAGTGGCCAGCCCGAGCAGCCGTCAGAGCTCCCGAAACAGGTAGGACCCAGAGCAGGTTGCGAGCAGGGCTGACATTAGCTGGGAGGTGGCGTGAGACTCAGACGGAGCCGGGCCCCACCATGAGACGGCACGCAGCAAGAATGGAAACCGTAACCTCACAAAGACTCTGTTTCCACGATCGCTGGTCAGCGTGACCCTTCCAGGAGTTAGACGGAGCTGCTGATTTTGTGTCGCCCTTCAGCCATGTGGGGACTACAATTCCCATCATTCCTGACCACTGGTCTTGCTAGCTAGGAATGATGGAAGTTGTAGTCCAAAAACAGCTGGAGACCCAAGTTTGGGAAACACTGGTCTAATTGATATGATATAATTTATGATCATGAGATGACTATGCAAAAATGTCACTAATAGGTATAGGAAGTTGTATTATTCAGGTCACAGTGCTCAATCCAATATAAATTTTGTGCATCTTCCAAAGCTTAGATATCTGACTGTCAGCTCACCACTATAGTCGCATATAATATTTAGAAGAATTTCTTGTGTTTTCCTTACCCAAATTAGTCTGAGTGTAATTTGCACTGCCAGCACTTCAAAGTTGTTGTTTGCTATGTTATTAATAAAGCTATGGCCCTTTAACCTCATATGGTTGTCATGTGTGTTCATTCTGGTGTGTGGGTGTGAGAGGGACATCACATCTGTATAGCACTTTCACGGTTTTTAAAGTGTTTCACAAACACTATCAAGTTGTAATTCTTACAACAGCCCTGTAGGGTAAAGCAGCAAAACAATGTGAGGTATATATTTCTTTTTCTGTAATTTCTTTCACTGTATCAATACTATATTGCAAGTACTGAATGTTCAGTGCAGTCCTATATATTATGATGATATATAGCATAATTCTGAAACTGCAGTTCTCCTGAAAATAGTTGAAAGAGAAATTGCTTACATGGTATCATATATAGATTCAAGTGTGTTCTCATAAATTTATTGGTGGCTTTGTGCCTAAAAAGCTTTCCCTGATTTTTGGCATGAAGATAAGAAATAAATTGAAAAAGGCAAGAGGTGGAACCAGGCTATATTACCTTGCATGAAAATCCTTCTTTTTTTCTTTTTTTTAAAAAAAGCTTTTCTCCTAACTGTCCCTGTGTGAAAACTAATACCTTTGATTGCAATTTATTTAGTGATTAGTAAATTTGAAATATTTACAAGCTGGGACACAAATACATGCACACACATGCATATTTCCATGTTACATCACAGAGCTCTTATCCTTTGGCAGTACCGTTCATGTACCATTTTGTTATTTAATAAATATATCTTTGGAAATTAGGATTAGAGGGGGCTTAAGAGTTTATCATAATCACATTTTTATGATACTGTGAAGAATTAAGGGCGCAGTCACATTAACATGGTACCTCTGTAAGGAAGCCTCCATGATACTGGATATTTATAGTTTCATAATAAAATGAAATGTTAATCATCCAGCTAAAGTAATTGTCATCTCTATGATGATAAAAACAAAGGTTTCAGGACCCAGTTACTGGTTCACATGCCGTTATCTGAACAGACATTAATGGAATTGCTGATTTCATGGTTTGGCAAGCGCTTCTGATACTTCAAGGCAGTGGTTTTCACCCTTTTTGAGTCCAGGGCTCCCTTGACCAGCTACGTTCTTTCTGTGGCTCCCCTGGGAATCCCCACTTATGCAAGGGTTTCATTCTGGACCACTGTTCACATCGCCAGGATGAGAGTAAGTGGGGATCCTCTCTACTCTGTCCCTGCCCCACCCCTTTCTAGTGCCATTTTCAATGTGTGTGTAAGTGGGAGTGTGCGTGCTGACTGTGCACAAGTGAGGATTCCCCTGTACCAGGTAAAAACGTGTTGTTTTGCCATTTAGTGGTTTTGCATATTTTTGTTTTGGGGCAAAGGTGCCCTGCCTGACCTCACCTTTGTGTTTGGTCTGGATCTCTCCCCCCCCCCCCCCGCCTTTGATGCAGCGGAGAAGGAGAGCTAGGAGGGGGAATAGAGAGAGAAGCCACTGTTTCTGCAGAGGCATGTACATTTTATCTTTAATGTGGGGTGGCAAGGTTTGTTTTTTAAAGAAGAGGGTGTGAGAGGAAAGGGCACACACATGGAGAGAGAGACGGGAGGAAAAGGAAGAGGGAGCGATACAGAGAGGAGCTTCTACGTAGCGCACCAGAATTGTACAGGGGAAAGGACTAAGAATCTAGGACATATCTGGGAGAAGGCGGTGTGGATTGGTGAGAGTAGGCAGGAACAAGGAAGGGGAAGGGGAAGGCAGTGGCATGGAGGACGAGGAGGGAAGAAAGATTGGCTGGGGCACCCCTGAACATTCTCCAAGTCTCCCCAGTGAGCTGTGGGTCGCCAGCTGAAAACGACTGCTTTAAGGAGAAGAATTCTTAGTGCCCACTGCAAACATTAATCAAATGAAGAGAATAGCATCACCATTTCCAAGCATGTGCATGCACACACACTCTCTCTCTCCAAAGACAATATAAAAAGGCAAGTTAAAAGACTATATTATTATAAGGCAGTTTGAGCTACAATACCATAGCATAATATCTCTAACCTATTTTGGCTCCATTGTCTTCTTAAACTCAAGCAATCAGTACTCATCCAGGAACAGTAAGCTTATTATTATGCAATCAGGTTACCTCACAAGTTCTTGACAAACACACCCCTTGCAGATACAGGACAAAGGAAATTCTCTGCCACAATGTACTTCAAGGCTTTTCCTCTCTAAAAGTACTGCATAA